TGACACATTTTGGATACAGCAAAAGGCCTTTAAATAGTTCTTGAAGAAACACTTTTGACACTGTTAATGTGTCTTGTCACTGTAGTGGTGCCTTCATAGATCACATTTGTACCTTTGAAGGTACAATATTATATCTACAGGTTTTATAAACCAAATTTACACTGAACAGTTTGTGTTGCTCAGAAGGCTTGGAATAAGGTTGGTTAACAAACAATACACAATTTTAATTTTGAGTAAACTGTCCTTTAAAATTAAAAGTGCGCTTTGATTTTGATGATCATTTAGTCAATTTTCTTTAAATCTATTTCAGCCTGTGTTGTACAAACAAGTAGAGTTTGTGGTAACATTTAAGTCAAAATATATGCTATTAACAAACCATTAACTAAGACTATTACTGTAGCTAACTAGCTGCTTACTGTATTAATCGTTAGTAGGTGTATGGTGGGTTTAGATATTAGGTAGGATTAGAGATGCAGAATAAAATCATATTTTATAATTACAAAAAAAGGTTAATATAGCAATAATATGCAGGTAATAAACCAGTAGTTAATAGCTTAAATTGTGACAAAATAAAGTGTTATCGAATTCATTTTTGTGAACTCTCCCTTCAGATGAATGTTTGCTTTGATTATGACGTTGGTTCTGTATCATTTACACAGAAGCCTGCTGATCAGCAGTCACGATTCCTCAAGGAATGCATCAAGATGTTTTACGCGGTCTCATCCGTTTCTCGTTTCAGCCTCCGTCACCCTTGGTTGCATTGGCATGTTTAATGCAAATGGCAGTGTGATGTATGATGGCCGTAGAAGAGGCCTTGTCTCCTTCATTTAATTAACGTGCACCAACGGCTTCTTTTTCATACACCGCCAGTCTTTCCCTCGCCTCTGTACTCGCAAAATAAAATCTTGCAGTAACTATCCTAAAGCGCTGTACTGTTTAGCTGGAATTGTCGGGTCAAGTAATTTCACTCGGTGTGTCTTGGTTTTCTCGACAGACCTGTGTATCAAAGCCCATCGGCAGCAACTGGGAAAGTGTTTGTTATGAAGCACAGACACACAGCGGCTTGATGCACACAGCCATTTTCTGCAGGGCACTGAAGTTTAATAGATCTTTCTATCATTCGAGCTCGTACTGGTCAGGAGCAAACTCGGCGTGTGTGCCTTTTACTTTTGGTGGGCAATATGCCATTTGTCAAGGCTTTCGGTGGACAGCTGATTTTAATTAAAGGGTTTTTAGCAGATCAGTTCTTTAAAAAAATAAATTTTTCAAAAAAAAAAAAAAAAAAAGAGAGAAATATATAGGATTCAGCTTTTTGCTTTTTTTTCTTGACGCTTTAATGCATGACTTGCTTCCCAAGTCCATATTGTTATGACTGTTGTGCTAATGGCTAACTTTTAATTTCCACTTAAAAAATATAAATTTACTTATTTTATTTTGCTAGCTCACATTGTTATTTTTACAGTAAATAATTAACCCACTGTCAAATTCTGACAATTTGCTTCTGTGTTTGTAGTGGTGCCCGTCAACCTGAGGGCTTAAATTGCAACTGCATATTAATACCCCTTTTTAATGTTAGTGTAAAGAGTCGGGTTGACAACAGGTGGGGATCCACGTGCAGCTTTAATAAATTGAATAGTCAGGCAGGCAAAACAGGTTCAAACAGGAGCATAAAGGTAATTCAAAAGTGTAGTCAGAATACAGGCGAATGGTCGGGACAGGCGGCAAACAGACATAAACAAAGGTCAAAAATTTGAAATACAAGAACTAAGAGAACGCTTCAATAATGCTCACTTACAGATCACAAGACTCAGCAAAGAGTGTGTGAGTGTGAGTGAGATGCATTTATAGTCCTGGTAATCAGCCTATCCTGAGCTTCCAGCTGTGCAGGGGTGATCAAGAAATTGGTGTGTGAGTGCAAACGCATAACATTGTTTTTGTGATACTGTACAACAATAATTAGGATTGTTACATTACAGTTTTGGTTGTGTAGAGGTTATTAAAACACAATTTAATAGGTCATTTAATAAATAAAAGAAAACAAACATGTTAACATCTGGCCACAGCTGGATGGACTAACTTCCATTTTGTACAAAGCCCTGCCTTCTGAAAGGTTCAGAGTGCTCTGATTTGCCAATTGGCTCTGTGCTTTGTGTTTGGTCAAACTTCTCATGTAAACCTATAATGTTCCTTACCATAATTGAGTTTCAGGTTGCTTGCAAAGCAGGCGCAAACACAAACGGTTAATAATGTGTCTGTTTTACTGTATTGGCTCATGCTTGAGTCCCATTCTGAAAATATAGATGGTTATGCAAATTAATCCAAATAGCAAACCCAAATACAACTTTGCATGTGCATGATGTTTCACTGTGGTAAATCTTTATTTTGTAACTGAAACAGCATCTCAACCAGTGCTATAACTCTTTGAAGCCTATTTAAAAGTAAAGTAGATATTTGCAGAAGTAATGTTTGGATTGTTGACTGGTTCTTATTAGGATCTTAT